CCCCCCCCCACCCCCCCCCCCCTCCCTGTTCTATCAAAGTCGTATTTTCCCCTATTGACTGCAGACTAGAACGATTATAAACGGTGAAAAAATCACAATCGGAAATGACGGGAAAAAGAGCGATAATAAAAAACAAGCAAAACCTTCACCCAAAAATAGTACAAATAATTGCATGGCTAATTCTGGAAGCAAAGTAAGCAAGATTAGAATTAGCAAGTGAAGTAAACATAAAACTCACGCAGGTGTTAAGAAATCGTACCACATGAGTAATAACTTATTCAAAACCGACATGCATTCTACAGAGTTAAAGCAATAGAAAGTAACCACAAACGTCTATGAAATCGACGGAACAGATTCTACATTTCCAATTCATATACAACGGTAGGAACAACTTACTTACCGATTCATGCAAAACAAAAGGAATTTTTAGAATCAAAATTATATTTCAAATGCGTCCGAGAGCACTTCTACTGGCCTGAGATTATGTTATGGCAAGCATTGCAAGCAGACGTAATCAGTTCTATCGTATTGTAAAGATCAAAAGATGGTAGTAAGTAGGATATAATTTTAATATTGACAACCCAATTAGATTACATGAATACAATTTGGAATTCTTCGGAATTAAGAAAACATAATGATCACTACTAGTACCACGATAAACTCGTGCTAAATTAATGCTCCTCTCAAAGAAATGTGATTATTAAAAATTATAGGGATAGCCCGATACATTCTTAAATTCGAACTGAATAAAAAAATTGTACCTACTGTTCAGAGAATAACTCAAAGTTCGGGGAAAGGCTATTTTTATAACTGGAATACATCACCATATGACCAAGTTAGTCACGCTGAAACAGAGCGATGGAAGAGCATTAGTCAGGGGAACGGGTTAACGCAGAGGACGAGAGACTACTACATACACTCAGTGAAGCAACTAGACGCACGTTAGCAAACTAGCAGGCAAGAAGTGAAAGGGTATATTTTTGGTCATAGAGCAAAAAATAGCGCCTCTGTAGTTCCCTCTCTAGAGCTAGCGCAGAGCTAGGCAGTCAGACCAGGGAGGCAGCGTTAGCGGTAGCCTAGCAACGTGGTTTACACTCGCACCGAAAAACACACTGGTTAACGCGTACAGCGGCGTGCGTCCATCCTACCAACACTAACGCCCACACAAAACTGGGAGAAATGCGAAAGCCGCAAGAGAGCTATATACACTATACATCATAAACCAGCTGTCTAGACTTTTAAACGGGATCGAATGGGATTAAAACGGTCCTTTAGACGACATTACGATGAGAGGTGGGAAGAAATAATCGAAAAGGAGCATACCTTGCTGGGCCTGTTGCTGAGCAATCTGCTGTTGCTGCTTCTTCGTTTCCATGAGATCGGTTGCTGGGGGAGCGACGTTTGAGTTGGTGGTGGCAACAAGTCCACCACCAGAAAATGACGAAGGCTGTAAAGCACTCATTGGAATAAAATCAATAAATCCAACACCACTATCACCGGGTTAGCGATGTAGACGCAGTGAAAAGAGAAAGAAAATTCTTTCTCTCGCTCTTCTGCTTGCTATTTGGGCGAGAATGAGAGACCGAAGCAAGAGAGAGCACGAAGGCGAATACGAAGATTGACTTTGAAGACAAAGGGGCCGCCTCCCGAATTATGACTAGAGTAAGAAAGCGAGGTTAAATAGTGAAAGCCTGTCATAATCTTGAGAGGAAAGAGACAATGAGGAGGGTTATAATCAATTTAATTGCGCGGTGCATGACCACACACACTCGCAAATACACACGATGTACGTGTGCTTACGTATAACTCTGCAAATGTGCGCGTTGTAGAAAACACACTGTGCTGTGTGCACCACATAAAGCACAGCACCAATTGAAGAAAGGGAGACGAGTGATCGCGAAATCAAAATGAGAGAGGTGGACATGGAAAAAATGAGCAACAAAACAATGTGACTAATCGTAGCCCCCAACTTTAGAATAAACGATAACTTTAAGAAGGGAGAAAAAATCTTACATGTGAAAAAGCTACCTCTCTCGGAACAATTTTTGTACTGAAATTAAGTAAATGTCGAATACAATCTCGGTCGATATAAAGTAATTGACTACACAGAAATAAACAAAAGATCTAATAACAGAAAGATTCTCAATATGACTAGATATTGACAAATTGAATATTTCGACTATAATTGATAGAGTAATTTTCATGCAAACTGGAAAAATACATCATGAACACTGACAAGAGGAATAGATCATAGCTATTAAAATAAATCAATCTTTTAAAAAAGCTAACCAATACTTAAAAAATTACTATTTTCATACACTACTATATTTCTTAAATAAAGAAGAACAATTGCAGTCATAAAATTATTATAATAAATTATTTAACATATGAGCAAATACAGTAAAAGAGACATCCAATTAGTGTTACTCACTTACTGTGTAATAAAACCGGTGTCAGTAAATTAAGAAACTTAAATATAAAAATAGGTTGCAGAAAAATATTAAATTAATGCAAATATCTCACAAGTTTTAACTGAAAATGACAAACTGCCTTCATTGGCATCAATGAATGCCCGGATCGAGCAATATTTGATGTACTAAAACAATAATGGCGCAAAATATTTTTTCCTTAAAATTACTGACCTTTTGTATTTTTCGTCTCAATAACCATGATTATAATTATGAATTTATTTAATCGCCTTAAGTATAACATTTTTATAAAACCGTTAATAAATATATATATATGTATATAAGAGGGACATCTACAAATATACAATAGTTACATGAAAAATACACAGGTCTTGACTTCCCACCTTACTTATTTTGTAAATTTGCTCAGTGAATTGAAGTGTTAACAACTTTATTTTTATGTTGCATTTTTTTGCATGTTTCATGTTTCATTTTTATCTACCTCCCAATTTTAGATCAAGTTCCTATAAAATTATGAAAGATTTCAAACGAATTTTAATATGAATACATTATTCAAAATAAACTTAATATTTTATGAAATGCACGTGGTGATAACAATGTGTTATATGTATATATCCCATTTTGTTAATTTGAATAGACCTAGGTGGGGTGATGAGATGAAATTTAAGAATTTCGTTTTATACTAGGATATTTTGGCAAAGGGGACCTGAATAATCATTCATCTATTGAATGAGGGTGCTCAAGCAAATCTGTTTTTAAAACATCCTAATTACTACTGTTTAAGAATCGCCCTAATTCAGTGGAATATAACCAATGGTTGAAAAATTTAAAAGAATTCCCTGTGCAAATAATCAATATCAAAACATTACTTATATCTGAAAATACAACTAATTAATTTTTAGTCTTCTTATGCTTTGAAACTCCGTATTAGATATTTTCAACTAAAAATTTCAATTGCTTTATTTGATTAACTGCTTCTAGAGCGTCAATGGTAACTTTTGGGAGATTAGAGATTTTCGGATCGATTAAAATTCTTCATGATCTTATTGCTGTACAGAATTTGACATACCTAACAAGTCACCTTAGAACCTCTAATGATCTGCACACCGTGCTAAAACTTGTCCACCAAATGATCATCATGCCATCACTTCTTTTCTATTTGTTAACTAAATATTAGGTAATATTTTGATTATCCTGCTAACTCCTTAATAATTTGCCCCTCAATTCATACCGGCCAAATTCTACAGACTCGCTATCCGATCAGCTTCTCTATATCCGCCATTTCTTCTAACTTGAGTCCTTGTGGTTGTTTTCGCTTTGCTTTCTTATTCTCGTTAAGTTTCAATCGCAACTAATTCCCAATTTTGCTATCTACATTTTAGAGACCTTTTTAAAACAATGTCGCAGTTTAGATCATTGACTCGTAAATAAATGCATATTTAGTTGCTCAGATAGACCTACTTATTAAGTCTTATCGCAGTCATAATTATTTTTACTTTATAAATCATCAAACTCATCTCCATGTACACTTATAAGCTCCGATGTCAGAGTGCGGAGATTTCTTAAAACTAAGCACCTGTGTAATAAACCACCTCTCAATCTAAAAGTGCAGATTTCCGTTATTATTATCATTACTGATTTAAGTGATATTGCACTGAGGGAAACAAACGTTTATTTTATAAACCAATTAGTATTTGCCATCTAGAATAAGTTTCCTCGAAGAAATTATTTAAATATCTGCCTTATGCATAGTAAGCAGACTCTGACATGAACATTCCCTTTCGCTATCAAATATACAAATTTGATTTGAAGGAAATTGGTTTGGCAATCCAATTATATAATTTTAATAATTATAAGCAACAATTAAAGGTTATAGAGGCCCAAATTCTAATAATGTGGCCCATAAGTAGCTTAAGAAAGCCAATAGTTGCTATATGGATAATTCTGGAAAAAAATGAATGATCTTCACTTATTAAACTTGTTTGAGTCCAGCTTTTTAACGATGGAGCATGATAACAATCTAGTATTTTATCAACTTCATGTATATAATATGTCAATCCCATTGTGATTTTTGAAAATTATTGAAAGTCCTGTAGGTTTTAGAGGTTTGCTATACGAATGAATCTCGACTTGTCCTCAGTAATACCTATGGGAAATTCCCTAGTATGGAAAGGCTCCCGGAATTAGACAGTCCACCTCAACGACTTAGTGTAAACAGGTGTATTTCGAATATAGAATTTACAAGGTTATCAACTGAATATATTTAGCATAATTTAAATGAATATCAATAGCTGATTATCTGAGTGAGCCCTTGCATGCACTACCACACCCTCCAGAACGTTTGAGGTTGCTTAGTAAAATTGTATCAAGATCGTGTACGTCATAAGGTTTTTGGTATGAATTGTCATCATATGATTTGCGGATTCTTTAGCTTAATACATTTTGACGTAAATATGTTACATATTTTCAGCAAAATGATAAATGATTTCTACTTGCAGGTTAATTTCGTGCCTGTCTGTGTAAAGCACTTTAGATAAATAAATTCTGACTTCAGCAAGTGTTCTATTTAAACAAACGATTTTGTGCTAGGATTGGAGTTAATATTGCTAAAAGTGCATGCGATAAACCCGCCCCTTGGTAGAATATGCTGAGCGTTTGAGGGCAGCCAAATAAAAACTAACTGAAATCGCTAAGAAGTAATATACTTTTCCTCAAATTTCCATTAACCCTTTAATACCCTTAGGACCGTACTGTCCTCTTTCAAAATAAGTTCTCTTAGTAATAGACTCGTAACGGAAGGCGCTATTTCTGTTTGAAACACGTCCAAGGCGTCTATATCCTTCGCCTAATATGTCAACAAGCTCATCACATCAGCGGCATCAGTCTGCTGTGAGACAGGCGTGAGTGCGGTCGGGTACATTTTTAAAAAAAATAATTCATACATTAAAGGTTTAAGATAGCCATACTACACCGACAAATACGATTTACTATTCCGTTAACTACATATGCATTCGATCATTTGAAGAGAGCTTTATAAGTGTATATTCTGTAAGTCAAGCTTTCATTTAAGGGAAATGTATGCTTATACTGTTATTTTCTGATTCGATTAATTGAGGATAGTTATGCATTTGCATTAATTATCCCCCCCCCCTCCCCTACACACCACCACCACAAATAACCTGTTTAATTGACCCAATATGTAAAATTTTGAATGCTGACAATGTAGCTTAAAAGTGAGCAAGCACCCTACAATTTGGAAACACTCACACAATATCCTGCAGCATGTTGATAAGTTAAGAATAATAAGCTGATAAAAGACTTGATCAAAGCATTAAAAATTCGGAGATCTAGAGGCATTTGCTGAAATAGTAGGTCGTCGGCACAGATGTTTCTTGTGTGTGTGTGTGTGAGTGTGTACAGTTCTGGCAACAAATTCAAAATAAAGAAAAGGACTTATTCTCGGAGAAGACGAAACGAGAATCACTCCTCAGAGACAGTCATCAGTTAGAGGAGATAACACCTCGGAATTTATATAGGCTCTTTAATTTGTTTTCGAGTTCTTTCTGCGTACTTCAGCAAAACCTGCAATGAAAGCAATAAGCAAAGGCTCATTTATTGGCATAATTTTAGCGCAAGATTGTGTTTAATTATTATCGAGACTTACACTCGTAGTAGACTAATTTAAAATGGAGAGATTGTGGTAAGATAAGTCTATTGAGTTTTTCAGCAAACTTATCAGACTTGTCGGCATCAAAGACCACGGAGGAAGTCCAAATGTCAACAATGACACTAGTAGGTCGAGGAGATACTCCTACACCCAGGATGGAATTGTGCGAGTCTACGAGCTGTCCCAATTTTTCCCCGATGGCTCCCATTGCAAGTTCGCACCAGAGATAGTCTGCATTTCGAATGTCCGTGTGTCGAAGTCGCCATCTTCCACCGTTTGCGTGCTCTGGCTTCTCCCTAATAAGGTGAGGAAATTGAATAAAAGACAAATCATGTTTTCCATAATATTCTAAAGCGCACTAGATGA